TATATATATACATTAGTGAAATCAGTCTGTTGTCCCAGTACAATATTGAACCCTCTGCCTTATTTGAACTTGTTGGGTGACACTCCCCCAACTAGCGTCTGGGCTGTTAGAATAAATTTAAAAATTCCTCATATACAGTGGGTGAGCCTAATCTTATGTATTTGTTATTGCTCAACTTCACAAACAACCTCCAGCTCCTTATCCACAACAGAGGTGACAATGTAGGCCTATTGAGCCAGTCAATGATGCCAGGAGTGGGCACTGCTAAAGGCCTTTCCGACTCAACACAATTACTAACAACAACGACAATAACTTTTTTAGTTAATACGAGTGTGTGTGTGAAGCTTTTGAGCTCTGCTTGACCAGGCTAAGGCCCAGGGGGTTGGGACTAGGCTAGATGCAGTATCCTTACAAGCCTGATGTTTATTCAATGAGGTTAATTTAAAATGATGAGCAATGAGCTGCTGTGAGTTGGTCAAGTCCAGTAAACAGACTTGAAGTTTAAAATATATTAGAAATAAATAAAATGTTATAGAATTAAAACAGCAATAAGGAACTTCATATCTTTCTTGGCAGTATAATTTAAGGGATGTTTTACAGAAATAAACATGTATACTGCTTAGCCCTAGTTATCTAAACTTAAACATTTATAACAGTATATGAATGAAGTCACCACAAAAAATGCAGTTATAGTTGTAATCTTACAGAGATACTTCTAATCTAAACACAACTATTTGTTCTACTTCTGATTTCAGATTTGCAGTTGCTTTAGTAAGACTAAATAAAAACTCACCTGTGAGAACTAGAAGAATCCATAAAGTAGCAAAAAAGAGACAAAGAAACATGTCAATATCAAATCCAAATACACAAAACGTTGCTAAATAATAATATTGTATGTACAGTTTTGTCCGTATTTGTTTGGACACTGACACAAAGTTTTTTTTACCCGTTTATTGAAACATATTCAAGTTATAGTTATATAATGGCATTCATTTGAGGGTATCCCACACAATCCAACCAACTGAACAGCACTCTCCAGGAGGCACTGAAAGAAATGATTCTGTGGCTATGTACAGTATGTAAAAAATATTCAATATAATTGTGTTTTTAAATAAAACAAACATTATAGAAAATGCTGTAATGCAAGGTTAACAAGTTTGAACTGTAGATGAAAGTATGTCCAAGCTGCCTGCAGATACCGACGGTAGCAGTGTCTCATTTGAAACATCATTTTTGGGTGATTTTTGCGTTGGAACTAGGATTTCATATATGTATATGAAAATTCAACTAGGATTTCATATATATATGTATGTTTATTTACATACATATATTAGCGGTGGGATTCTTACTCTCTCATGATTCGATTCTGATTTTTGGGGTCACTATTCGATTCAAAATCGATTTTTCATTCAAAGCTGATAATGTGAGCCCATTTGTCATGTCCTGATGCATCTCAGTAATCCAGGTAAAAAATCAAAAAGAAAAAATTGTATAGGTCCTCTGGACGGGTTCTTCTTAATGAAACGTTTCGTCTCTCCTCCAAGAGACTTCTTCAGTCTGAGAGTTTCAGGCAAAATTCAGGCTTTTAAGCCCTGCCTCCATGTGACTGATACTCACATCACATGGCTATCGTTGACACCTAATTAACACCTATTGTTAACAGGGGGTGGAGTGATACTGGCTATAGCAGCGCTGTAGGAGGGGGACAACTGAAAACGGAGGCCTCCACCTCTGTTTAATGATGGACGGTCTTTCTTCACAAAAATGGCTTCTTTTACTCCTCTCTCAAACCAACGTTCCTCTCTATCAAGAATGAGAACATCCTCATCTCTGAAAGAGTGACCGCTGGCCTGTAAATGAGTGAAAACTGCAGAGTTCTGGCCATTAGATGTAGCTCGTCTGTGTTGGGACATTCTTTTGAACAGTGGCTGCTTTGTTTCCCCGATGTATAACTGGTCGCAGTCCTCCTGGCACTTAACAGCATATACAACGTTGCTCTGTTTGTGCCGGGGCACCGGATCTTTGAGGTGAACCAGCCTTTGCCGTAATGTGTTTTGGGGTTTGAAAGCTAATGGGACATCATGTTTAGAAAATAAACATCTCAGTTTCTCCGAAACACCCGCAACATACGGAATAACCACTGGTTTGGGTCTGGGTTTGGGGTCTTCATTTTCACCTGAAGGTTACATGGAATCCTGTCTGTGTTTCCTGTCTGCTTTCAGGAAAGCCCAGTCAGGATAACCACACTGCTCCAGGGCCTGTCGTGTGTGTGATTTCTCTTTCTSCCTGRCTCCTGGGTTTGTAGGGACACTGTCTGCTCTGTGGTACAGAGTCCTGATCACTCCTAACTTGTGTTCCAGTGGGTGTTGGGAGTCAAAACGCAAATATTGGTCTGTGTGGGTGGGCTTACGATATACGCCAGTTTCCAACCRTCCTCCATCCGAAACCGAGACATCGCAATCCAGGAATCCGCAGTCCCATTTGTCATGTTCCCAAAGTGCTTCATCTTCATTTTGCAAACCTTGCACGTCAAACTCAGACTCATTCAGTAAAAAACAAAATAAGCCCAAATATTTGCATGCAATGAAGACAGGGCCCGTTGAATCTCTCTTTCCTCCAGTTTGGTGGTTTCCTCTTTGTTTTGGTGCTTTCTGCACATTCATGTTCCAGAAGCTGCTGCGTGATGTCGTCAGGACGTCCCATATACAGTTGTTAGTACAAAATGGAGGCTGATGGCCATTGGATTTGCTTTCGATTTTTATAAATAAAAAATATATATTCTGGGACATTTTAAATCGATTCTGAATCTTTGTAAATGAGAATCACGATTCTGATGTAAAAAGATTTTTTGGTGCACCCCTAATATATATGTTGGACTAGTTATTTCTAAGAAATAAGAATATTTAGATTCAATTTATTTCATTGATTAAGTTCAAATAAATATACAGATTAATGTAGATGATTATTAGTCAATTACATTACACTTAGGCAGCACGGTGGCTCAGTTGATAGAGCTGATGCCTCTCAGCAAGAAGGTTGCAGGTTCAAATCCTGGCCTGGGGACGTTTCTGGATAGAATTTGCATGTTCTCTCCATGCAATGTGTGGGTTCTCTTTAAGCACTCCGGCTTCCTCCCACAGACCAAAAACATGATTGTTAGGTTAATTGGTAACTAAATTGTCCCTAGGTGTGAGTGAGAGAGTGAATGGTTGTTTGTCTCTGTGATGGACTTGCGACCTGTCCAAGGAGTACCCTCACACTGTGATTGCTGAATAGGGGCACCAGTGACCCCTGTGACCCTGAAAGGAATAAGCGGGTACAGACAATAATGGATGGTTGGACACATTACACTTAAATGTAGAATTAAATAAATTTTTATCAGTATTATTTTTATCAGTATTATTTACACACTGAGAAGTTTGTTTTTAATTCCACTCAATATTTTGTGTAGGTTTTAATTCTGAACTGTATTCTATTCAAATCAATTTATAATAAATCAATAAGTATTATGAGTTCCATTTAATTAATATTTACTCAGTTCCAAACATTGTAAAATTTAATTAATAATATTGCCTATAATCTGTTGCCTCCTTTTTATTGAGTAGACATGGTGTTTTTTTTTTCTTACAATGTGTATCAATATCCAAATCTACCATAATGAGAAGATTTATGAGGGATTGGTGTACTTAAGGTCTTGGAAGAGGACCAGTCCTCACTGGAACATTATGTAGAATTGGCACATTGTGTAAAAACAGCCTTCAATGACTTTTTCTAGATAATTTATGGTGTTAGCCTCATTTTTTCCTTTGTGTCTCAAGCGCTACTCCTGTTTCACCAGCTCAACAAACTACTCTGACCTTCCTGCCATGACAACCACAAACATCTTCCTTCACAACTCACCTTTGTACCTTCACTCCTATTTAAAAAAATATATAAATATGGACCTTTTACTGTTTTTGAAATGTAAAATAAAAATAGCTGTTTTCAGAACAAAATACAAATGACCAAAAAGCACACGGAAAATGCGGAAATCTCTAAATTCCTTGTAACTGTACACTGAAAAAAAGGATTTTTGGGTGTAGTAACTTTTATTTAATTGTTCTTTTAAATTTTACAAAAAATATCAAAATCTCTAAACCACTAGAATTTACTAAATAAAAAATATACATAATATTATATATCAATATTACTGTACAAAAAAAGTAAATGCTAATATTATTTTACCAGTAATATTTAAGTGCTTTTTCTGAACAGCACATAAACAT